ACAACTTTAGTCCACAACTTTCAATTTCCCAAAACACAATCCTATTAGTAACATAATACCCATCATCTATCACTTAAATGGCCCCATACTACCTGCCTTATCGTGTAATCCTACACTACACAATTAAAACTGACCACTGTACACCAATTTTAGACTCTCTCAACAATCGTACCAACCTATGTCCCCGCTCACCAACCGAGCCATGCAATCAACTCTCCGAGAGTCAATCACCCGCAACACACTCTCATACCTTCCTGAAATGGGAATCACCTTCTACTAGTCAGCCTCTAAAATAGACTCTTACAAAACCACGAAATGAACCACATCTAGTGGTCGGTCATCCAGTCATGCCTACGTTGCCTTAGACTTATAGAGTCTAACGAGTCCCCTTAACAATCATAACCAACACGTTTCTTTAGATCGTACCAGAATACCTAAAATACACGTCTACAACCCATAAACTACACTCGTGACGCTATTAACCTCCATCACACCCACCACAAACCAGTTCAAAAGAACCTCCGCACCAAACTGTGACCCCATACCATGATACAATGGTATCTCTTCATTTAAAACCCAAGTAACCAATCCTTCTATGATTATCATTCTTTCATAAAATAAAAAAACATACTGCATAAACCACGCCAGACTACTTGTCACATTATCATTAAAATAAATTTACACAAACCGTGCCTACCACTTGTCATTATCATAAACCTCATGCTTGCCATCATATCATAATTAACATGCTTTTAATTACTTTCACATTTCATTTACATGATTAGATGATATAATTATCCTGTATACATCGCCATGTAACACATATTTTAGCATTTAAACACGTAAGCATGTGAACACTTGGCGAGCAAGCATGTCTCTCAAAACCGTAAATATATAGGCAAGTAACAAGTAAGCATGCTTCTTAAAACAGTAAACACTTTAACATGCAATACTTTCAAATTAACTCAAGTCCCACTTAGGTCAACCCTACCCGTCGTCCTTATGTTTTCCAAGCTAAAGCTCCGATACCAAATCTGTAATGACCCGAACTCGGGGATCCGGATCGCTAATCGGATCCTTACCCGAACCCAAGGTAACACAAGGGTACTATGGTCATTTCATGTCATTATAATAATTTTAGAGTCCATAGGGGTAAAATGGTCATTACCTATGGTCAAATAATGGTTTAAGGTCAACAAGGCTAAACTAGTCATTTGGTACATTTATTATAGCTTTACAACTCATTAGGGGTATAAAGGTCATTTTACTTTATCAAATAATAATAATAAACCCAAAAGGGTAAAATAGACTTTTACTATGGCCAAATAGTGATATGAAAACCCTCAGGGGCGGAATAGTCATTTTCTGGTCAAATTACAACATTCATACCCTTCAGGGGTAATTCTGTCATTTTTTAGGGTCATTCTGTACTTTGGTTGGGGCCTGGGGGTCTTTAGGTAATTTTGTTGAATTATGAAGTCATTGTGCAAACATCATTTCATCTAACCGGTTAAAAGATTTCTCCTAACCGGGTAGATGAATGGTCCAGTAAGCTTATAAATTTCAGATCACATCTAACTGATTAGAAGATTTTTTTCTAACCGAGTACATGAATGGCCAGTGAAAAAAATTGTAAAAAAAAAGAAAAAAAAAATCATATCTATCCGATTAGGAAACTTAATCTAATCAGTTAGATAATGAAAATCATCCAACCCCTTCTCTGCCCCATACATTTAACCGAGTACAAAGAATCTCCTACCCGAGTAGTTGAACACATAAAAACCTATCTAATCGGTTAGGAAACTCATTCTAACCGGTTAGATGAGAAAAACCCATCAAACCAACACACTGCCCATTCATCTAACCGGGTAGATACCCCTATCTAACCGGTTAAATGATGCCCAATGATGAAATAACGAAATTCTTGCTTCCCAAACCCATTCCAGTGCAATCTCAAAAACGTTTAAACATGAAATTAAAACTCCATGGACATCATCAACCCCAAAACATTTCATAGAATCGTCAAAATAACATCTTTTATACATCTCTCATGGATCAAAATATATAAATCGTCTTTACACAATTTCAAGGAATTAAGTACATAAACGAGGTTGCCATGGCCGTAAATACAATGTTACAATACAATACAATAAAAATCCTAGCATCGTCTAAGTCCGTAATTGCAAGCCTTACGCCAAATCTTCTCCGGCTTTTCCTGAAAATGTTAAAGATAAGAGGTGAGCTCAACAGCTCAGTAGAAAGGGCTTAAAACACTGGCTTTGGACTCCATTGAGTTGACAAGCAAGAAATGGGAACGAAAAAGGTTAGGATTATTAATTGGGATGTCAAAACCGCAATCAATATAATTCATTCACAACACATTTTTCACAAGATTAAACCATGCATATGAATGAAATAATGACGTGAATGCAACACCATCCCGACACGGTCCCAACCCATCCAAACTCACACCGAAAATCGCTAACCGACTTTACTAAGGCGAGATTGATTAGCCATCCCTAGTTTCAAATATGGCAACTATTTGGGGCCTAGCAATCAACGTTACACGTCTAAATTTGGCACGCGCTCCCTCTAGGTCAAATTAGCCCCGAGCTCGCGAAACCCGATTCCTTTTACAAAACCATATTTTTTTCCAAAACATTTAAAACATTATTTCTTTCTATAAAACTTTCCTACACAAATTGTGTGATGACCTTTCCACCCCAAATTCCCCAACCATATCCATGCCATGAATGGTATTATGCATTTTCAATATTAATAATTTTCAAGCTTTGTAATTCCATTAATTTAAGTTATCATGCTCATCACAATTATCATCATCAACATCATCATAAACATGTTCTCAAGATAACACTTATACATATAGCATGCTTCTCAACAATTTACCTTTAAATATATAACTAACATCACATTTACACATATTTTTAGCACATAAGCACATGGATCATGCTTTTTAAGAAAAGATCACCTTTACACATAATTTTATTATATAAACACATAGATCATGCTTTTTAAGAAATCAAACATTAAGCTTAAAAAGAAGGCAAAGTATAATGAGTTAGACCTCCCTACCTCAAAGTGTGCTAACCGAACAAGCCTTTAAGCCTCCAAATTTTGAAATCCTCCAAGCCCTTACACTATTGGTCTCAAATGAAAGCTCTCACCAAGTAGAACAAAACTATCTCCTTGCTCTTCATCAAAATCTCACTCAAAACCCAAAAAAAATGAGCTTAAACTATTGAAGCATAAATGGTGTATGTAGATATAGTGAAAGAAGCAGAATACGAGAGAGTGAAATTTTTGAAAATGAAGAAGAAAGTGGAGGTGTGGTTTGGTCTTCATTTTGATTCCAAGGCTTGAAATGTGCCAAGTGTCAACCTTTGGTTGATTACAAACTTTTAGCTAAGTTACCTTAATGCCCTTGCACTTCTAATGTAACTCCTCTCATGTCCAATTAAATATCTCCCCAATGTATAAATACATATCTATGCATATATGTGTAGAATGTCTATAATGTCCTTCTGTACAGACGACAAAACCAAGAGAGGGTCCCGAACCCAAAAATCGTCCCGACTTCCGAAAAATTCTAAAAATGATCTTGTCAACTCTAATTGACTTAAAATAAATAAAAATGCATTTCTAAAACTCCTAGCTCAAGAAAATGACCAAAATAGCCCTCGGGGCCCGCGTGACATGCAAAACGAGGCAAGAAAAATAAATAAAATAATAATAATAAATTTGAAAAAAAAGCAAAAAAATTCGGGGCATGACATTTACTAATAAAAGTTTTAAGAGAATTATATGAATATTTATTTTATTGATTTTTTTTTTTAATCATAATATTTATTTTATTGATAAAGGCAATATTTATAGACCGGGTCCAATGCCTTTTTAGTTACATAAAGAAGAGAGAATATTGATGCAATAAATTATAAATTCATTTTACTGAAAATCAAACACCAAACACAATTTCTAATCGCCTCTAAAGGCATAGCGGCGTTGGCATGGATCCGGAAAGTAAGTACTTAATATCTCGTTTTCAAACCGCACTACTAACTTAGATAGTGCGTATGTTATGGGTCCGATACACGTAATTAAAAAAAAAAAAAAAAAAAAAAAAAAACAATTTCTATTTCGCATTGTGAACTTTCATCATAAAAATACTGCCCATACTACTATTAATTAATTAGCATCATTCAACAATCAATTATAGAACTATAAAAAAATTGATAACACACAAAATACATACTAAATTTATATACATATATTGTAATCACACACACACACACACACACACACACATATATAACACTAAATTTATGTACATATATTGTAAATCTTCTTTTAACATTGGAAAGAATCAAAGATTAACCATAAGAAAGCAAAAACTATTATCCTAGCTGATAAGGAATATTAGTTCATGTGAAAGTCTAGATAGTCGAAGAAGTGTGGATAGACTGATAGCAACGACTTCTATGTGGAGTAACTCTCCCAATTCTTGGCGGAGTAAAAGGAAGTGGACAGGTACGACAATAATATTATATTTAATATTTTAATTAAATATTCAATGACCAAGTACTAATTTGACCGGCAGAGTACACTTGACCAACACCACACCGGTCATCACTTCTCTTTTCTCGCAAGAAAACTGAATTGTGCAAATTTTTGAATCAACAGTAACAATTCTTAAATTATCTATTGCTCTCATTTTAAAAATTCTCAATGATTTATACTTTTTTTTTATCCCTCCTTTCTTCTTCAAATGAATCATTCTCAAGTGAAACTTCATTGACTGTTACCAACACAAAACAATTTGTAATTAATTTGTTTTTAATATCATTTATCTTCACTATATAAAAAAAAATGATATAACATGCTCACTACGAGTATGAGATCCAGCGCCAGTCCACTGGATCTCATACTCATAATGCATAATAAATTAAAGAAAATCACACACACACATATTAAGTGGCTATGACTGAGCGAAAGAAAATCCCCTCTTGTGAACAGTACATCCCGTTAAGTCTGGTATGTACTTTACAAAAACGACTATTGGTCCTTGAATAGAAACATAAAAAGAACTTAAAACTACAGAAACATATGGACAATATTATAACGATAATGAGAGCTTACAAATCAAGACTGATAACTACTTCCCCTATATCTCGAGGTTTCGACGTCAAGCCCATTGAAAGTGACGGCCTTACTACAATATTGGTCAACCTTCTCCCTCATGTGTAAACCTCCATAGTAACACACACTTGATGTTTACAAATTATAACGAGAATGAGAGCTTACAAATCAAGACCGATAACTACTTCCACCATATCTTGATGTTTCACTTCATCAACCGAAGTCAATCCCGTTGAAGTTGAAGACCTTACTACATTGGTCTTCCTTTGAACGTTTGCCTCGGGAACTTCTCCTTCATTCGTAAACTTCCATAGTAGCCCCAAATTGATGGCCAAAGAGACGATAACAACATGCCTCACGGACACAAATTTGTACATCTTTTCTCTCTTAAGAGAGAAATCAACAACTACAATGGGAGTGATAGTTAGATAAACACAATGTTGACACAATGGGAACTACATGTTATTGGCATAAACCTCCATAGTAAACCCACATTGACGGTCACAATCAACAACTATATATATATATATATATATATATATATGTAAAATATTTATGTATTTACTTATTAGTATCTCATCAAGAGAAACATTTAGGATGTAGGAAATTTTTATGAAATGCACTTGAGGTTAATTTTTTTTTTTTTTTTTTTTTTCAACTAATGAGTCTTTGGAATTTTTTATTTTAACTCAATTGCAGTTAGTATCTTTTAGAAATGTTCTAAATTATGTACCAATCTTTTATATTTGTCAACAATAACCCTAAGTTCACACCAAAATTCTAAACCAAAAAATTCTTAAATCTTTAAACTCCTAGGCATGAATTGCAATACTTTCTACAGTAAACAAAATAACAGTACTCTTTGATTATATTGTTTTTTTTCCTTGAATGAAATAACAGTACTATTCTTTCTTTTTCTTTTTCTTTTTTTTCATTGGCAATAAACATACACACACACACCCATGTTGCCTCTTTGGGGACTCGAATCCTTACCAGAGGAAATACCACTAGGCCACAAGGCCCTTGGTAGAAATAACAGTCTCTTATTCATCCAAAAGAAAAATAAAACCGTAAGAAGCTAAACTCCAATCTTGTTCTCTCCGGACACAAAACCTTGATTTCTAATTGTTAATCTCTTCAAACTTTGGGAACCTGTAAACGTTTAATTCTAAAGTACAAAACTGTAAGTTATTAGTAAAAGATATTTTTAAGGTTTTTGTTAAATTTTTAATCTCTAATTCTAGTCTCTTTAAAGTATGTTTGATCAAAATATGCTAGAACTCAAATTTTGCCTAAAATAAATAAATTGTTAGAGGTTGGGAAATCATGGTCGACCACCTTGCCAAAAAGTTAGTAGATCATCCAGCACAAAACTACTGAGAAGATTGAAATTTTTGAGAGAGCTAAAGGGAAAATTTTCACTTTATTTATTTTTTATTTTTTAAAAAAAGATGATATGTTTTTCTAGTTATGACACATTTTGACAATATTTTAATGAGAACATGTTAAATTATAATTTTTGTTGTTTTATTATGAGTTTTTATTACACTATTATTTTCATTTAAATCAGATGAAAGAGTTACACTTTCATATCCCTACAAATATAATCCACCACCTTCTCCAGTTCAAACTCTCATTTTTTAAGACTCGTACACATACTCTATTATCTCTTTATTTCTTATATAGTTCCATTCCTGTACTCATTCATGTATATATGTCCTGTGCATTTTTAAGAATTTTTGGGCAACAAGATGCATAAGAGTCTCAACAAAATAAAGCGTTTACTCACAGTTTTTTGTGACCACTCAAATCGAAATGTAATAATCCTATTATTGACGCAATGGGCAAGAAATGCAAGAATATATATATATATATACATATATATATATTTTTTTGGGCATTGTTGGCCCTTGGGCTGTTTCTTTGAAATGCAAGAATATTGCTACTTTTTTTCCCTAGTTAGAATATTGCCACTTGTTCATGTATCAAAATGTTTTTTGTTTCCTTTAACCCAACTAAATTTTGAATCATGGAGCACAATATGGTTAAACATATTCTTATTCATCCGAAGTTGTTACTTATCTAGTCCTAACCTGGTTTCACACACCACTATATTGTGCTCCATTCTCCGGTTCTTATACCAGCTAGTTTATTTGAGAAACACACTTCTTTACAAATTACTTAATATTCTTATGTTCTAACATCCTGCAACTCTTCTGAGAGATTAGTTCTTCTATCAGCCTTCTAAGGGAATTAAATTAATAACATACTCGAACCTTAAAAATTCTAAAAGTTGAAAGACAGATAACTGTGTAGGTGCATAGAATCATCATTTAATTGTTTCAAAATAAGTGTATACTTCATTTGACAACTATAGAATGGCAGAGTGTGTGTGTGTGTGTGAGAGAGAGAGAGAGAGAGAAAGAGAGAGAGGAAATGGACGCTTGGTGTAGAAGACTTGGTAAACCAGATGGAATTCAATAAAGCTTACGGAAATGTAAGATGGGGCAAAGAATTAAAATAAATAGATAGAAAACCTAAGACTGGTTCACTTAATGACTTGAGGATATAGAAAATTGATTCTGCAATCTTTCTACTGATCTAACATTGTATATAATGTTTGTCCTTTATAAACAAAACTTTATTATTATTTTTTTTCTAAACGTATAGAAATATCATACAAGACACGACCATAAATAAGGAGGTTCACAAGATTACATTATCAAATCAGTATGAGTAAAAATTGGCTTTGTTTTGCTTCCCTTTAAAAAGATAGAAAACAATTAACCCCAAGGGGTTGGCTCAAGTGGGTAAGAACTTGGCCCTAGAGCCTCACGCCCAAGGTTTGAATCCTCTTGGGTGCAAACAATTCCTTGAGAGGGGGGAGGTATCAACTAGGAAAAAAGAAAAAAGGAGGAAGAAAGATAGAAAACAATTGAAGGTGAGAATGACAAAGTGAGGGGTTCCACACCATAGTGGGCATTTGTGGGTGTGTGTGAGTATTAACCTAACCGGAAAAAATAATAATAATAAAATATAAAAAAGTCAACAAAGTAATAAGACATTGAACCCACAAAATACTGGCCAAAAGGAAAAAGAAAATGAAAACTCACCATGTGCCATGACGTGACAGTAACTACGCTCATGGCCTCGGACTGCGCAGTACAAATAACTTAAGAACTGCCATCTTGAAATCACAATTATGTTTTCTGCCCCCATCTGCTCGAATTGCCACTGCATTGAATTACATATAAAATCAAAACTTATTCACAAAATCTTACAACAATGAGTGTATTACCACAGTGTTCGATTCTGATAAATCATTACATTAATTGCACATATGTTAGGAAATAATTTGATGTTTCAGTGCATCCAATAGCCTAAACAACATATATAAGCTCCACCAATTTGGTTACTTACACGGAGTGTCACAACCCGAAAATAGGGGCAATCACAAAACATGGTTCGGAAACCGTCCAAATCAAATCACCAAAAGATAATTCAAAATACAAATCCATAGTCCATTCTTGAGCACAAATCAATAACAAATAACCTCAGACAAACAAAGGCTGCGCTACTCCAATTATCCTCAACTTAAACAGGTCAAAAACTCCTTTATTTCTCATGCTGCCAAAGTCCAAAACCATGGCACCAAAGCTTAAACACAATAAAAAAAACATTCGGTAAAAAGTCCAAAATGATACAAGTACAACATGATTAAATCGAACTCTCAAAGTTACATCGAAATTCTCAAAATGAATTCATTCAAACATTATATCAAACACCTACACCACATGATAAAAAATGTTCTTCAATGAAGCAAAAATCAGCAACTTCAAGAACTCCAATGGATCATTAAAAACCTGCAAAATGGTGGGGCGAGACACGAAGTCCCAGTAGGAAGAACAATAACAAATGTTTCTATGGGATTTTGTAGACAACAAGGACATGTCATGCCATCAAAATAGAAGGTGCAGTCACAGCAACATAATCATATACCAGGATTTCAGATAATTGAACAATTAGGAAATAGGAATCCAAGAAAGGAAAGAGATTTCAAATTGACTAGAATCATAGCAAAACTCAATAGAACAACTCTCAAGACGGCAATTATACAAGAATTTCATACAAGGACATCCATGGCATCATTAAAAGAATTTAAGCACAATATCACCACATACACAAATGTTAGAGCAAGCCCTACCTTTAGAGAAGGAAATAATGATGAGATGATTTGGTGAGAGGTTGATGGTGAGAAGATGAGGATATAGCTTTCTGAAATTTCCAGTCTTGAATGTCTCCTTCCATGGCCTAACCATCTTACTACTCCCCTTCTCTTCTTCCGCTCTCTTCCTAACTCTGTTTCTCATTCCCAGCTCTCTGTATTTCTCTTTCTTTCATATGCGTAGGAAAACAAATGGGGCCTTATGAGGCGTGGTGTGTCAAGGTGGATGCATGTATACAACAGGTGTTTGGTTTTTGGGAAAAAACCATGTCCCACGCTATGCATGATCAAGACACATGGATTCCACCTATTTTATTTTTCCAAATTTCCCCTTCTGCCACCATTCGCTCAATAATTATACAAGAGTCTCCCAATAATGTCCCATCTCTTATATTTATCATACTTTAGACCTCAAAATCATAAAACTCCCCAAATAAAGTCTCAAAATTTACAAATCAAACCTTTAATCGCAACTAAAGGCCTAAATAAAAATCTGGGGTATTACTCGAAGTCATCGAGATTTCACTATGATGAAGACCAAAGCAAAATTACAAACAATTAACCACCGTCCCCCTACTATAGTCCTATAGAATTAGGGCAACATAATAAATGTGAAAATAGCATAATACCCCACAAAAAAATTTGAGATCCACACTTCCTATCATGAGTGAATGGGTATATATTCTAAATTTGCAATATCAATAACATACGATCCAATCTAGGGATCGTTAACCTCATATTGGCCTTCGTTGTTTCATTTCTATCAAGGAGAAAATTGCAAGCAAGTTAAGAGCAGTTTGAGGTATTGATCTCCATGAAGTTGAGTGTTTGGCTTCTTAAAAAGGACCAAAACAATATATTGATTGGCGTAGTAGAAATGACATCTGATTACTACTCAATGTGTAATGACCAAAATCATAGGCCGTGAGAAACGATGGTTTGGAAATTGTCCATTATAATGACCAAGAAAATATAAATAATCGTCAAATATATACAGGTCATAAAACAAATCTCCACAGTTTTCTTAAATAAATAAATAAAATATCTGACCAGTCCAGGTATGTCACATCACAACATTGTATCAACTACAAAAAAATTAAAATTGATTGCAAATAATAATTTGAAAAGTCTTTACCACCTTGATCACAACATTAACAGTTTGTTGGAATTGACTTTATGAAAAGTACATTATACTCCACAACAATATTGTTAACTATTTTATAATTAATGATTTGTTTTCCCAATTCTAGTTAGTTAATTACATACTATTACTTCCACCCAAGGAAAATGCTTCATTTAATGTTTTTTCTTCAAACACGTCGTATCTAGCTGCACCCTTTTTCCAGTTAAAGGTCGTTGTACAAATTGCATAAAATTTGACAATCAATTTAATCAAGGTATCCTAAAGGCACAAAAGTCCATTACAATTTACAAAGGTGGAATCTTGTTATTATTCATTGTTCTAAATACCAATCATCGATTGATCGTGAATTTGATCTTAAAGCAAATTTTGATTTGAACCTTAACACAACATATTCAAATTTCTATCAACATTGGAAGCTTCAAAAAAAAAAAAACAAAGAACAATCAAATAGTTCAAAACATTTGTTCACATCAAAATTTACCAAATTGTAGTCCTTGATGTTGAACAGGCCCACTCAATCACTCCAAATTTAGGCAACATCATGGATTAAAGTTTTGATTCCACAGTGATTCTCAAAATCAACACCGATATTCATCAAACATTTCCAAACAACTTTTTCATGCTTAAATTCAACTCTTTTGATCTTTGATTAGTCATGATCACCATTCAATCGAACCTGCCTTAGAGAAATTTTATTTTATTATTATTATTTTTTTTGGGGGGGGGGGGGGGGGGGGGGGGGGGGGGGGGGTGGGGTGTGGGGGACTCTTCTTACCACAATAGGCTTTGTTTTGCAATAACCAAAATGCCAAACCATGAGGTTCGACACAGCCAAATTTAAGTTATTTTACACATTGCAACACCCCAGTTTGTGGTACTTTTGAAAAAATCATAAAAATGGTGTAATTTTATTTAGGACACACAAAAATGAAAACAATAATTAAATTTGATACAGCCCTAAGCCTCTATGTAGTATTTTGTCATTCCTCTCTCAAAACCAAAGCTTCAATCACTCAAATTGACCATCTTTCAGCCCTGATTTATTGATGAAGGATTCCAAAAGGCTTGGAGGTTGAAACATATCTGAAGTGTTGTTTGATGTTAATTTGAAATTCTAACATAATGACACAAGATATGACCTATAATCTCTTCTCCTCTGCTTCATTCTCCCTTCTTTTTCTTTCTCAAGAAATGATTATGGTATTTCTCTTGTATAAGAATTGTTTTGCTCATACTGATTCTAATGATCATCTATTTTCTACTTGTCCGGTGGCTAAAAATGTTTGGAAGGCCTTGTTTGATTTGCTGAAGTGCCCGTCTCAAGATTTTTACTCAGTCGAGCATATAGTGGATTGGTTCTTGCATAATACAACTATAAAGAGGGTTAAATCTCAGGTCTTGAAGACTGTGTTTTCAGTCACTATCTGGATGATATGGTCAGCCCGAAACAAGTCTCTTCACCAAGGGATATGTGAGGATGCCGATCAGATTGTCAAGCTTGTTATTTGGGAGGTCCTTCTCCTTTACAGTTTTTCTGTGTGTGATTTGGCAGACCTGTTTAATTAGTCATGTTTGTCTGGATGATATGCAGTAGGCTTATTTTGTATTGGAAGTGGGCTTTCTCCATTTCTATGTTTTTTTTATAAGAGGGATGCCTCCAAAAGATTTGTAATTCTTTCATTTTGTTTATAAAATACACCCATTCAGGAAAAAAAAATATAATAATAATAATCTATGAACAACCCATACTCAAATAAGGTTTCACATGCAAGTTCTAAGAGCATAGAATGTTAAATCTACACATACGATGATAACCTTTAATACTGATGTATTTAATGACTTGGAATAGATAGAAATTTGAATCTATTATTTTCTAACTGAGCTTGCTCACACTATACGTTCCTTTAATTTCTATTTTCCTTTAGCCATGGAAATAGATGTGTTTAATGTTTCATACAATAAATAGAAATATCAAAAAGTAGACACAACGATAGATAATAACATATACTTCCCACATTACGTACCAATTTTAGTTTAAAAAACCAACAGTTTTTGTCTCTCCAGCAAGTGTATCTGCATGTTAGTCAAATCAATCATAAGACATTTAGCTCACCAAATTCAAAATATAACTCACCAAATTCAAAACATAAAAGAACTCACCAAGTAGCATGGGCCTGCAAGAACCATTCTCATGGGATCAGAGAGAGAGCACGTTCTGACCACAATATCTCTGGGTCAGTTGGTAGAACGGAAATGAAAGGGAAAGAAAAGAATGGTAATGGAAGGAAATAAAAAAATGTGTTTGGTAAGAAATATTGGATGGAAAGGAAAAGGAAGGATTTGGAGAGATAGAATTAGGCATGAATAGTAGCTTTTGTTATCCTCCCAAAAAGGGAAGGAAAGGCTAATATTTTTAATGAAACTTTGTTAATACCAAATTTGTCCTTATTTTTATAAAAGATAAACTCTATGAAAAAGGGTATGGTTGTAAATTCATTACAATAGTTTCCTTTCCTTTCTTTCCCCAAACATGGTTACTATCATTTCCTTTATTAATCAACCAAACACGACAAGCAATTAACACTATCCTCTCCTTTCCTTTCTTTAATTTTCCCTCCTAACTAATGTTATTCTTTCTTTTCTTTTCTTTTCCACTGTACCAAACATAATTTGATCTTAGGATGGCAGTCCTTAAGCTATTTTTTGATGTTAAGAAAAAATTTAAAAAATAATAATAAATAACTTAAGAACTACATCATGATATCATAATTGTGGTTTTCTCTCCTCCATCTGCTTCCAAAACCTCTAATACAAGGTCGGATCACCACTGCATGTAAAATTAAAACATATCTAAAATATTAGCTATAAAAGATGTAATACAATAATGTTATATTCAAGATGTTGTATTAATTTAAAGGATCTTGATGTTTGCTTGTTTAGGAAAATTATGGAATACAACTATTATTTAATGCATCAAAGCCTATTCTCAATATTTAATGTGCCTATACAAATCATTGCATTTGTAACATTCTTAAAATTCTTTCTGATCATAAAGTACTAGATTTTAACAATTAAAAGGATATAAAAACTAGTGTAGAAATTAAAAAAGGAGAAAGAATAAGGAACTGAAGGATTTTTTACTCTACCACCATGTTGATGAAAGAATGCTATAATATGGTTCAGTAATATATCTTTTAACATGGTCCTCTCTCAATCTAGAGGAAGAAACTAAAACACTGGAAGAGAAAGATGATACAGTGTTGAAACAATGGGAAAATGTGGGTGATATCTATAGCGAAGCCTCCAAGAATGCACCTGATGTTCAAGTGACAAATGGATGGCTCCATAGGGCACATGTCAAGATGCATTTGAAGATAAAAAAATAAATAAAGAAAAAGATTTTAGAAATGCCAGCAGTGATGGATTCTCGGGTTAGGTTTTAAAAAGGGAGAGAAATTTTCATATCGATCAAAATTATCATAAAACATAAATTACGTGTATATATAAATTATAATAAATTGGGGGGACTAGACTACAGAATCTGCATTTAGAGAGAGAAAAGCTTAGTGAGAGAATATTTTAGTTTTTTCTATTACGTAGAGTACTCAAGATATTTTTAAAATTTCATTTCATTTATGTGTATATATAACCTGGAGTTTAATTTTAAAAAATTGTATATAAAAAAATGGAAATTGCTTTGCTGATGATTTATTTCTTTTGAGTCATAGCAGTGTTGATTCTATAAGAACTCTCAAGCAAGCCTTGGATCACTTTTCCAAACACTCAGGACATTCTATTAACTCTCCAAAAATTCTGCAATTTTCTCAGGCCTTTCCCCTACACCTCTTAGGTAGAGAGAAGGGCTGCCTACCTATTAAATATCTTGGGATCCCTCCGACTTCTACAAGGCTCACTTCAGTGGACTCCAAGATGTTAGTCAACAAAATTAACAATAGAATTTCACAACGGAGCAGTAAATCTCTCTCCTATGCAGGCAGAATGCAATTGGTGAAATCAGTCCTTATGAGCATCCAATCCTACTGGACTTGCATTATCATACTACCTAAATCTATCATCAATGTTCTTAATGGCATTTTCAGAGCATTCCTATGGACATCTATGCAAGGTGGCTTGGGAGAGCATGTGAAAAACCTAACATTGACCCTAGCAACAAGTTCTAATGTGGTGGACTCTCAATTCAGACAACAACAACAAAGTATTTGGTCTCAGTGGTGCCATCAATATCTAATAAAAGGAAGATGCATTTGGCAAATCAACATACCTCAACAGTGTTCATATGGTTGGTAAAAGCTTCTTCCTTCAATTAAGAGAGATTGCAAGGCCTCTAGTCAAAGATTAAACCTCTCAATTGGACCTCCCTTATCTACTGATCTTCCCACCATTGGAGAAGACCAAAAAGAGCTTCAATCACACCCTTTTTCAAAGCTCGCTCTTTCTGCATTATCTACCACATATGGCAAGAGAGGTCGATCTCGTTCGTTCGCAAAACTCAGTTCTGAGGATGATTGTCGATTCCATCAGAACAAAGCTCCAAGGATGCAAGCTCTCGAAGAGTGGGGTAGCCCCCAGATTTGTATTGATTCATCGATCCAAGTCGGCTCCTCAGCCAGTGTTGTCATCTGAAACATTTCAAGAAATTGAAGAAGATCGTTTGCCTTGTGAACTATTATTGTAAATTTGTAATGCTTCCTTTTTAAGGTAATTTTGGACCTACAGTGCCTATTGTTGGGCCTGCCTTGGTCTAGCCGATTCTTCTCAATAGCTGTAAATGGGTGGGCACTTACTCATTTGCTTGAAAAGCCCAGGCAGCTAGGTAGTACTAGATACCTACCTATTTATATTCAATCACTTTTTTATTCGGAACCGATGTAAGACAAATGACCCCTTGTAACATTTCCCCACCCGTCGGGTTTTTCCATCCGGATTCGATGTGAGATAAATGACCTCTTGTAACATTCCCCCACTCGTTGAGCCACCCTATCTACCCTTAGTGGCTCACCCGGACGCTTTCTTGGCCGGGGGTTTGGCGTGACATCAGATCAAGAATTGAGTCTGCCTCTGATACCAACTGTTATGGGTGAGCGCTTGTCCATTTACTTAAAAGTTCAAACTAGTAGATAGTGTTACATACTCACTTATTTATACCCAATCACTTTTTTATCAGGATTCAATGCTGGGACAAATAACACCTGTAACAATAGCCTACAAGAGGCATGAATAGAATGAGACAGTTTTTGAGAGTTTAAAAAGTCAAAATAGTCTTTATACAATTTGCTTAAGCTATAAAAATAAAATAATAGAAATTGCTTCTATTTTTGCTTTTTATTATGTTTAAATATAATAAATGTAGATTTAGTTATCGATTTTTATTATGTTTTACCCCCACTTAGCAGGCCAAGTGGCGGCAATTAATTGGTAATGATGTGGTAGTGATTTGTGTGAATATGATACTGGTGTGGTGAGGATGCACATACTTGATTGTGGTGCTATGAGTTTGCTTTTATTGGAGGAAAGTTATGCCCGTACAGAGATCACGTGGAGCAATTTTGGGATTTGATTCTAAATTTCTAATCCTTACATTTATTTAGGATTGGGTAGCTCTCATCACCCTTTATGTTGGGTTTGGTGTGCAAGAATTGTAATGATCCGGTCATTTTCCTCTTGGTTGTGGTCTATATAAATGCACA